CGAAAAGATTCACCAACCAAAATTGATCAAGTCCTCCATCCAACCATTTCATTATAAAGTTTACTCTCTTACCTTTTTTGATGGCGAGAACAAGACAACTACCGGTAACTGTGAGTTTTATTATCATACTTACCGCATATAAAAATAAAAAAATATTCTTGTAATGATTCGAATTACTAAGGCTTCTGCCTTAGGATGTGAAGATTTTAAATTTTAGAGTTTAAAAAGGATAAACAGGAATCTATTCAAAATATTTCTGAAGCGCCTCATTATCTTATCTCATAGTGTTATAGGATATTTAATAGTTGGTTATAATATTCGAAATTGTTTTATTAACACAGCCTGTAATAATAACAATAATAATTTAATAATTAATTAATAATCAAACAATTGTTTTTCATTCGGTTAATCTTCTCTCTCTCTCTCTCTCTCTTATATAACTAACAATGTTTACAATTACATTGGAAATCAGATTCTTATGCGACGAATGAAACAATCAACGTTTGCATGCAAGCCATAAACAAACAAAATGTAAATTATTATAAAATAATTAATTTCGCAATGAATGGGAAAATTATTTTAAGGGCTGATGTAAAGCGATTTGTCTATGTACAAGTCTATAAGATATATTCAACTATTTTAATGGGCAGAGTTAGCTTCTTTTTGAAAACATTTCAAAGTGAAGTGAACTGAGCAACGGCTTCAATAATCAAGCTATTTTTAAGCCACATAAAGAACTCGACTCACCTTAATGCTTTTCTTATATGATATGTTTCAGAATTGAAATACCGTACTCACCTTAAGTTGAACCATGTTTCGGTTAACTAATGACAACGGACTTTCCGTTTATTATAATATTTTTTTTTTTTTACCACAAGTGACGTAGGGTACATTATCTCAGTGCGCATTTATCAAAGACACAAAAAGACATAAAATACCCCCTCCCCCTCCCCATCCTACTCCTTATTGCACCGATCGATTCAAAATTAATCTCTATATATTAAGTTTATGCGGACCTATGTGCCACCCAGATTCTAAACGTTTCAAAACTACTTTCTGAATCAATCTAAGCTTGTCTTGTCTGTCCGTCAATCTACAGAAAGTCTTTCTTCAATCTTTATGTGCTAAACCTAAGACCTAATTTTCAATATTTCTCAATAAAAATTCGTGCATAGAAATCACTTCATATAAATAATAATCTTGACGAATTTGCACAGGGTAGGTCCATTCTCTGGACCCCACTTCATAAAAAGGTCTCCATGAAAAATAAGTCCTTATATGTCAAAAACGTTCAGTTTTTAATATTTTCCTATGAAAATTGATTCGTAGGAACAAATTTTGAATGCAACCCTATAAAGAGGCTATCATGAAAAGCAAACACTTTTACAGCGGCAAAGTTTAACTTGTTATTTTTTTTTTTTTGTGAAAATAGTAAATGGAAATTGCTAAAATCTTGAGTTTGGTAAATTTGAGGACTATGTTAAGCGACGTTTTGAAAACTTCTATGAAAATTATGCCTTCACCATAAAAATAATGTATAATTTTTAATATACAATGTAGGTGGTTTAATAGTCGGCCTTGCTCTATTTGCCTACTGATATAATTGTTTCAAGAAGTGATCAATCAATAGATAATGGAATCTTCTCAAAAAATCAGTCTCACGAACACCTCGCAAAGTATGACAGCTTTCGCCCTTCGAATAACCCATTATTCTCGACGAGAGATATAGTTACTGTAAATTTAATGCTCATTTAATGAAAATTTTCACACTATATAAGTCTGATATAGAATTCGAAAACAAAAACAAAATCAAAAATAAACTGAAATAATAAATAATTCTTAGTCAGCCTTAATGGTTATATAGATTTTGAATTGAGTGAAAAATGCTTTCATGTTGTCGCAAAGCCTAATACACGCAATTGATTTATTATTTATAAATGAAACAATGCACAACGCTTTGTCGGCATTATTTTCAGCTGCAATATTACTAAAATGCCCGCTTTATCAAATGCATTTACAAAAGATTGTTGGTTTTCGACCGCCCAGCGATTACATGCGACCAGAAAATCTCTTAAAGCCACCATTAAATTACAATAATAACAACAATATTGCGCAAAATCGTTATAAACGGGAAGGCTACACAACATTGGAAACCAGCAATAGTCGCTTTCAGCAACAACCGCAGCAAGAACAAAATAATACAATGCATCACAAATATGAGGATACAACGAGCATGAAATGTTGGCGTATTTGCAATCAGGATAACGCCTGCATAGCTTATGTGCATTTATTGGATACGAATGAATGCTACGGTTATACATATTTCGAAAGAATTCCAAATTTAATGACAATAATCGATGAACTACCATTAGTAACCGATACCGAAGCAATTTTTTATGAGAAAACTTGTTTAAAAGGTACGTATGCAACGTTCATTCATTTACAAAAACAAATTTTAAAACAATCTATATATATATATATATATGTATTTTTTTTCCATCCTCTCTTAAAAAAAAAAAAACAAAATAAAGTTCCTGAGAATTGTAAAAATCGATCATGGACCTTAACTAAAATACCCGGAAATAGTTTAGTTTTTCAGGGTAAAAAAACAATAACAACATTAGTTACGCGACGTGAATGTGCTGAGCGATGTTTATTTGAACGTGAATTCCAATGTTTATCTGCTTCATTTGCTCCATCGTATCGTAACAATCGCGAAAGGTAGGTAATGGTTGGTAGATAATATGTAAAGGGGAATAAAAATGCGAAAAATTTTCTACGACAGATTATCATAAAACGCATAAACAACACACGCATTATAGAAAATATTACAAATATTATGAATTTTTCAAAAAAAAAAAGCAAATTTTTTCATAATAACTGTTGCTTTATTATTTTATGGATGACTTCAACTATTTCTGTATATTATATTATGTGATTTATTGTTGTGTTATTTAATGTTTTTGTTGTATTGAAAATTTAGTTAATGAAGTCATCTCTAAATTATTGGAAAATAGTTAAAGCGAACGCCAACTAATTCAAAAAAAGAAAAAAAAAAGTACATTTCACCCCTCACCACTATCTCCGCCCGCTCATATCTTTTTCTGCCATATAGCCATTATTTGGAAAGAATAATGACGATCCCTTACAATAGCACTTTTATGAAAAACACTTTTACGTGCACTCGCATCAACTTAAGCCTAATAACGTTCGTGAGAAAGTTGACTTTTAGGAAATGTAAAAGGGAACAACGGGTCGCGGTTCTCAGTTTAATCAAATATATGAACATTTTCAAGTGGATGGATGGATATACAAAAAAAAAAAAAGAATAATAAAATTTTAGACACCTTGAAGTATATTTCTGTTATCGACATTGACTTATTTCCAATAAGCATTCGACTCAATTGTCGATTCATGTTCAAAAATTTTTAATTCCGTCCTGCACTGACAATGAGCACATTTCCAGTTTAAATAGGTACAGTGTCTAGATGGCCGTTCCAATTTAAAGCGACTTCATCAAATTAAATAATTTTTTTTATATGACCAATCGCTTAGGGAATGTCCTGTGCTCAAAAAAAGATAGAGGTCGCGGCCTAGTGGATGAGCGTCCAATCGAGCGGAGAAGTTCACATTTTATGTGACTGACAAGTCCCAAAGACCCAAATGACGGACAGGCTAACAACAATAAACGGGAAAGCCATTTATCCATACTTATCTTAGATAATAAAAAATATATTTTGCTTAGCGAGCGTATTGCAATCAAATTCAAAGTTTTCGGCGATAGCATTAAATTTTCAAAAATATAGAAAAATGATAAAATTTTTCTTTTTCAATAATTAAAATCATTTTCAATAGTAATTAAATTTACAATATCTTTAAGATTGTCACAAGCATATCAATCACCAACGGAACAACATCAAAGCACTTTAGGACGGTGTATACTTAGTGATAAGGACAAAATGATACAACCGGATGCCTTTCGAGCGGCCCCCTACGATGAGGAATACATAGAAAATCAATGTCTTGATCGACCAGTTGAAAACGATCATTGCTCATACGAGCTGTATGCGAACAGTACATTTATTTATGCGGAAGTCAAAGTGATGGGATTAAATCAAGTCGAGGTAAGAATAAGTATAAAAATTATATACCCAGTAACCTGTCTATACCCAGTAACCTGTAGTTTATTATCAGACAATAGTTGTCAATCGTTTAAGAAAACAGTGAACTTGAATCTTTAAGCGATTTTTTCAAAATTAATTTCTGCCAAGTTGTGCTGGGTATACGCATTGCCAAAATGGCAAGTTATTGTAAATTTATTCTTCCGCTTATAACAAACAATCAGACATATTCAAGGGAGATACCACAACTTATGGACATTCTTAAGAAGAAAATATTATGCTTCCAAAACTATTTCGTTCTTGACAGGTTCGTTGTGTTCGTTGCTCCCTTCTCTCAATATTTGCCCCTGACGCTAGTCAATCTATTTATTGTTATATAAGAAAATGAAAAATTCGTATTAAAAAACAAATGTTATGTTAAATTAAATTCTTTTTTGTTAAATATTAAAAAAAAATCTAAAACTAGACAAGGATAGCAGGATAATAGTGTTGCATTCAACTCGGCCCGGATATGCTGCTCAGATATTACCTTAAGAATCGAACTATACGAGTATGCTTCTTGCATTAAGTATGCATTAGGAAAAAATGGTAAAGAAGTGGAAATACCAATGCATATAACGGTAGAATTGGATGGTTTTGATCTTCTCTACATAAAATAAGTTTTCCATTTAATATCATTGATTTATTCAGCATACGTTGGGGGTCCAAATTCTTCTTCTTTCAATTTCCTTAATTTTGTTGTTCATTTGAAGAAGTCTGCTGCTGAAGCTCACCAAACACCGCTAAACGTTAAGAGGGTTATGGTGTTGGTGGTGCAACGCGAACACGAATTACCTGAAAATGCTAGTTGTTGGCCACTTTTTGCAAGAGTTGTCTAGCTGGAATGGGAAGTTCCGCCACACCTAGCGTACTCACCAGACATGGTGCCGCCTGTTCAGATCGGTGCAGCGTGGCTCAGCTGGCACGCGGATCCGCAAAGAAGAAGTATCAAAATGGGTCGGCGGATGGGTCGCTGTGAAAGCAATATAAGTTCTTTCGACATTATATCGCCATATTGCCAAAAATGTTGTAGAAAATGTTGCAAGACATTCTGATTAGAATAGATTTTGTACCAACTTGCCACAATAAATACCTTTTTCAAATGAAAAAGTGATGAAAATTTTTGCAAACACTAAGTAATAACACTAAGTAGGGTTTCTGGTAACTGAATACAATTTGTTTATTGTTTTTTAAATTTCGGCGTTAAACTTAAAAGCAATAGTAAATGTAAACTATCGCCAGCTGTTTCCCTCGTAGGCTACAAAACCTCGGAACGGCTGTTGTGTGTCGTGAATTTAAAAACTTATGCTCACTTAAACTCTCCGGGAACTTAAAAAGTTTATATGCACAACCGTGATAAACAGCATAGCGCGAAAAACTTTTATTTTCTTCTATACACAACAACAAAACAATTTTAGTTAGTTCTTTGCAATGCAAGATTTAATATAATATATATTTTTGCTCTTCTCTCTCCATTACCAATTACCAGCCAGCCACGAGTTTCAAACAACCTTAACCCAACAAACGTGAACGTTACAAAAAAGGCGAAATTAGTTTTTTTTTTTTATTTAATAATTTTCTCAATATCTCTGTTAGAAAGATCAACAAATTTTCTAATCAAATTTGAAAAATTACAAATATTTTCAAAATGCAAAAATAAGATTAAAATTCAAATTTTTAAATTTTAATAAATACCCTTCTACAATGAGGATTACTGCTTTTCCAAATTTTATGTCAATTTCCTATGTCAATAGCCAAGGTCAACTTTTTATTGTGGATCAACTTTTTTCACTCCAATCAATAATTTGTAGGATTAATTTTAAAAAGTTGGAAATTGAATGAGAAATTTATATATTTACTGGTTACTATATATATACTGTACGACTATAAATTATTTTCTTATTAATTTTTCTAATCTTAGTGTCAATCGTTGTGCTCACGTGAGACAAAGTTTTATTGTCAGGGCGTATCATTTCATTATGAAGATGATATTGATAGATCTGAATGTTTGCTCCATTCTGAAGATATAATTTCACTGGGACCAAGAAGTTTAAAATTGCGAAAAAACTCAGTTTATATGAGGAGAGTGAAATGTTTGGACGGTAAATTTTCTCAAGATGTTACACTGTTACACTGTTATATTATTGTTAATATTTCTTTTCTTTTTTTTTTTTTTATTACATTAAATTTATAAATATTTTGGATAGTACATGTTATCTGCACGCACGATGAGATGATTATCAAGTACACGCCTAAAGATTGGTTCCGCGGGAAAATGTATGTCAGTCAGCATTCGAAAGATTGCATGATTCAAGGCAATGGAACGAAAAGTACGCTGCTACGTTTAACAATTGGTAGCGAAGCAAAAGAAAATAAATGCGGCATCTTAAGGGCTTATGAAGTGACAAAAAATTATCAAAGGTAGAGGATAGGACTATATACAAGAGATTTAATAAAACATATATTTATCTTTTTATTGATTTTTTTTGTAGAATTTTTATCTCAACTTTAGTGGTTATACAAAATAATCGAAACGTTCAAACGCAGGGAGATCGTTTAATAAAAGTTGGTTGCATTATGAGTAACGTTACTGCGAAAGAGTTCTCTGCTAAAAATGACGATAAAGCAAATAATCGCGATGAAAATACGCTGAAACCCGAAGAAGAAATGATGCCGAACGCCATAGCCTTAGAATCATCTTTGGATTTTTCAAGGAGGCAAGTAATATAAAAATAGAGTAAAAAAAAAAAAAAAAAAACAAAGTAGAAAGCAAGATGATAACCCATTGTCAAAATCATAATCAACTCAAAATATGCATAAAAACATTTAGTATTAGATATTAGGTCGCCCAGCATATAACTGCCCTCAACAGTATATTTAAATCATTCAAAAATACAAATGTCTTTCATTTCCTTCGCCCAAATTTTTTTTCATAAACAAATAAGTCTTGTTAGAAACAGGAACGTTAGTTCTTCCTTTTAAATCCTTCGCGGGGAATCCAATCTCACATATCCAAAGAGCCAGATGCGGTTATCAATTTTCTTTTTATTCTCATTTCAAAGATAACTAACTCACTTCATCCCTCACTCTCTGTCTTCCTTTCGGACTTTTTCATACGACACGATAAAAAAAAAGCCTACAAAATCTATCGAAAACAAAAGTCCGCGACTCTCCTTTTCACTCCCTATGATCATTTGGCCAAATCTTCAAAGCTTGTTAGCCATAGAGGAAACTGCAAGGACATATACGAAGAAGAACGCATCATATAAGAAAAATAGGCATAAAAATATTAAACAACCGAATTCATGATGTGAATTTTGTCTGACAAATATATATAAATATGTATATATATTTATACGATTTCCAATGCCAAACCCGGAGAAATTAAAAAGAAATAAAACTACTACTTCTCGGTAGGAAGTTTTCACCAAAACTCGATTCCAAAAACCACAATTATTTAAATGATTATCTTTTCTTCTCTTTGCTTTTCTTTTCAGTTTTCTGCTCAATGAGGGCTCTTTACACTACAATATTAGCGATTCGTATCATCCGATGCCAAAAATTACTTTACAAATTATCGATTTAAGTCGAAATCATCAGACAAATGACGTGCAAATCGGTCAAAGTTTAGAACTACGTATAAGTGCAGAATATACCCAACAACAGTTAAGGGAATTTAATGGACTGCAACTGCCACCATTGCCAGATTTTAGAGCTACCTCACTTGTGGCCCGTACATTAGATCGGCAAAATTTTGTACAACTTTTAGATCAACGCGGTTGTCCAACGGATGTTAGCGTATTCCCCGCGCTGAAACGGCAGCGTATAAATTCAAAAAACGTATTAACGACAAGATTTCAAGCGTTTAAATTTGCCGGTGATTCTTTAGTAAATTTTGAAGTGAAGATACACTTCTGTCCCCATCAATGTCCAGATGAGAATTGCTTACATTCTTCTAGCCATTCAAATCCATGGTCAATCTCAACTCTTGAAGAACCAGTGACTAGAAAACGAAGGGAAACGAATGAAAATGAGAAACTAATGGCAAAATTCGAAATACAAAATCCCGTTTATATATCGACGGTAATGGATGTGGCAAGTTTAATAGAAAATCAAAGTTCAAACAATTCAACAAGTGACGATTTAGATATGAATAGCATGCCATTGACGTTTAATTTACATGTACGAGGACCAGATAATACCAACAGCAATAGTTTGATTTATGGTGAACGGGGAATTCTATTGATAGCGACAATCGGTATATTTGCTTATTTTATTATTGTTAGTTAATAGTGTTTGATAACATATTTTATTATTCTCTAGATGATCAACTTCATTTTGATAATATTTGCTTGCACCAAAGTCTTTTAATAGCATTATTGATATTTTGGCTAATAATTCAAATAGCTTTAATGTTTAGCTGCTGTTATGTTATTCAAAAATACAAACGTTTGGCAATGTTGGATGAAGAGAAACGCAATATACGTGACAGTCTAGAATATATAGACAGTAGACGTGTTCATTGGGCTGATCAGAGTGGTTATACGCTTTAAATATTTGCATTTTTAATTAACAAATATATTATACCAATACAAATTTCTCTTTTTGACTATCTTTTTTTCCTGTTAGTACTTTGTTTCATATCACTTACCATGTAAAATTTTTGCAACGAATTCTTCAATATTTGTTGCGAACAAATTTACCAATTTATATATGGTCATAGGGTAGTCTGTATTTGAAAAAAAAAAAAAAAATAGTTTATGCATTTAAATTGATCACTAAAAACAGAAAACACGAATAAAATTTCACATTTGCAAGCATTCACTATTTACGCGGTTCGTAATGCTCCCACTTGCGATGATTTAATTTCGTAAAGTCTTTGCAATGAATAGCTATATCATTTAAATATTTAGATAACTTCAAAAGTTCCGTATCCTTATCGCGATTCAAATGCGCTTGACGAAATGGACGTATTCTTAATCCGGAACGTGGATTCATTAGGAAATTGCGACGTATATCGTCAAACATTATTGTGTTGGAAGCAGTATATTGCGGATATAAACCCCAGATTACTGCTAAGGGTTTCACATCAATAACGCCATAATCTAAAGTGTGAACTGATATCATAGCACTAGCGTCCAAATAAAACATAATTTTATAATTGGGATTATTGTTAACACCCAATAGACGCATTTTCTCCTCAATCCATCTCATACCGGTAGCTGACCAAATAACAATATCGTAATGTTCATAAGCGGAAGTAAGAAATTCATGCAAGTACGGTCTCATTAATTCGGCGCCCGTTTCAGCGATTGAGCGATGATCGAATAACGTATAATCAATATCTAAGACCAATAAATTTTTATTCGGCCGCGGCGGATTCATCTCAGTGATTTTGTATTCTTTAATGCGTTTCTGTATTTTCGCCAAATATATAGCGGACTCTTCTATGCATTCTTCCTTTTTATCATCCTGATCGTCGAAATCATCAATTACTTCGACCATATCTTCCGGTTTATGACAAACATCTTCAATGTCTTGCTCTGTGGAGCCAACCATCATTAACTTGAAATTAGTTTTCAATTCCAAATTTGAGAGCTTTACGCTATCCTCGGCTCCTTTACCTGTGCATAGACAGTTCAATCAGATAAAGAATCTTAATTATCTGCTATACTTGCCTTTATATTTCAAGTTAATTAATTTTTGCCTTTCGGGACGTACTTGAGTTTTTTTAAAAATCTCATGACGCAATACTGCCACAGTATCTTGGTCAGTCAAATCTGTAATATGATATTCTCTGCCACTCCATTTCACTAATATGGAAACTTCTTTAATGTTGGTCATGTTAATGCTTTTCACTTTTTTTGCAAATATAAACAAAAGCACGCACGATTTTTTTTTTTAATTTTCATTTGTCAAAATTTCTACTGAGAGCACAATTAAAGTGGTGCCAACTGTTCATTTTTAATCAGAGATGAAAAAAAGCGAAGTTAAACGTAGTGGTTCATTTAAATTTTAGTGCTTGCCAAAGGTTTCTTTAGCTTTTTTTTCTTTTGTTTTTTTTTTTTTGTTTTTTTTTTTTGTTTTTTTGTAATATCAAAACGCGAAATTTAAAAGAAAAAGTGACAGAAAATATACAATGCATTGTTCTCCTTTCCTTTCTGTGAATTTAGAATATCACTATTTAATTTTCTTTTTTGAAGTAGAAGAAATTTAATAATCAAATATAGACTACAAACTAACAGTAAATCAATTCTTATGGGATAGTTAAACAAAAAAGAATTTATTTCACTGATATCATTTGTTATTTACGAAGTATATATAAGGATAACAGTAAATATTATCGTTTCTCTTATTTCACGATTATGAGAGTATTATAAACCTAACAAATAATTCAACACATAAGTAACAATACACATACAAAACAACAAAAATAATGAGGAGGATTTATTAAAGCATTATATAACGGTATATAAATGAAATCAAATTTCTTGTGTAGAACTTCGTGGAGTCTCGTCATGGTTCACCGTTTGACGATTTATTCTTTTAGCCTTCCTAGCTGGAGCTTTGGGTACAACGTCAATTGGTGTAGATCCAGCTAGAGTACCAGAAAATGCCGGTGTATCAAATATCGAACTTGTTTGACCATGCTCACGTGGTGCTTTTTTTCGAAGTTCACGGGTAATTTTAACTACAAATCTTTTGGTTTTTGCCGGCTGATCTCCGCTCGTAAATTTTTTTATATCTCTCAACACGAAATGACCTGTTAAACCTCTCCCCGTTTTAATCAACAATTCCTTCGATTCAATTAGAGTATGCAAATAATTTCTAATCATATTTTTCCGAGCTGTAGTAATATTAACATTGTATGTTTCGGAAATGTATTTTTTGACAGCAACCAACGTTGTTCCTATTTACTTATATAAGTATTAATAGAAATTTCATTTCTACGAAAATTAATTTCTTATTACCGTTTTTTCCATGTAAATTAATTAACGCAGCCCGCGTCATTTGTTTAGTTGCGGGCAGCTTTTCTCGATTACTCATTTTAAATTTCAATGATCGTTTACAAAAATATAATCATGTTATATTTTAGTAACGATTTTAAGGAAACATACTTTAATTTTGACTTTTATAATATATACTACGAGCAATATTAATATTAATATTAACGACGCTGCTAATATTAATATTAAGCTGATTATTAAGCTGATGTTTTTTGCTAATGAAATATATAACGGTATTCTACAGCTTCTCATTTAAATGAAGTTTGACTTTCTAAGAAGAACAAGCAGAGGAAAATGTTCACGTCAAGACGAATCGTAGATGCATACCGCTACGTCCATTCTAATTGCCATATATATGCAAAACAATTCATATTCGATTTTTAAATATAACATGAACGAAAATTATTGCAAATCCTACATTGTTTTATATTTCAAGCTAAGTTGAAATCTATGTGGATACAGTGATTAGAAACACTTGGAGTATTTTATAAATCAACAGAAAAATCGGGTACATTTCCAAGGTATTTGCGATATAAGCTAACTAGCTGCCATATAAATCAAAATAAAACAGTTAAGATAAAAGCAAACGTTTTGCTTTCATATTACATCAGAGTGTTCTAAAAATCAGCTGATTACCACCCGCCGTTGGAACATTTACCCAACTTGCAAAAATATACTATACGAATATACTATTTATACAAATCGTTATCAGTAGTAAAATCATAAAAAATAAATCCAGCTGGTTTTGCATATCGAATTCAACTACCACGGATTATTTTCTTTACATTCTACAGCTGTTTCTCTCTGAAACAATGTTACTGTTTCAGGCAAGAAGGAATTAAAGTCATGGATACCAAACACACCCGGTGCATTGAAAACAAGTAGAAAGAAGCAAAATACGTAAATAAATGGTGACTATAAAAGAAGGTTGAATATTTTGCAAAGAAAATCAAGCAAAAAAAAAAAAAAAAAAAAAAAAAAAAACGAGAAAAAATTGAAATTGCGTTTTTTTTTTGGGTAAAAGGACTTTCGTATACTTTATATAAAAAATTTGTAGATTTAGTGCAGTGATTAGTTAATTTAACGAAAAAAGGGGGAAAATATTTACATTTCTCTTTGCAAAAGAAAAGCACTTTTTAATTTTTTCAACTTAAAGTGGAGTTGTTAACGCCTATGATGGCCATAAACTATACTAAAGACGATCAACAAATTTTTCTCATTAATAAAGTCTTAGAGTTATTAAAAGTTTTCAAGAAAACTGGTTTTTTCCAACAAGAGTATACTCCACCTTACATTATAAGATTTTCTGACCGTGAACTAGACGGCGTATTATTATTCTGTAACTAAAAGGCTAAATAGAAAATTCTAGTGTCAACAAAATTATGTCTAGTGGCGATTTTGAAACGCCTGGAGGAGATGATGAATCTGCGGAATCTTCTTCTTCCTTGGCTTTAAATAATATGCCGCAAGAATTTCGTACGGCTTTGGACGAATTTCGAGCCGATTGGCAAAAAGAGATTAAACAAAAAATTGAGCCAAATGAAAAGGAGCTTAACAACAGAGATCTTCAGAGAGATGCTCATTCGGACAGCAATGAAATTGATAAGGAAAACTTAGCTCAAAATCTATACCGCAAAGCGGTAGATTTGGAGCAAAAAGGTAAAGTTTACGATGCAATACCATACTACCGCAGAGCAGTCCAAATCGAACCCAACATTGAGTTTAAATATTATGAATATCAAAAACTTAAAGTTCAGCAAAGAGCGTTGCCAGAACAACACACGAACTCTTCGGAAAATCTTCAATTGGTAAAATTTGAAGATGAGCTGGAAATGTGTAAAGATTTGTATGAGAAGTTTCAAAAGGATTTGTCGCATAGTTATCATGGTAAACTTATGCAAAGCACTCTTGATGCCGGGACAATTAGTACGGAAATGCACATTTCTGACTTGCCGCCGGAGCTCTTACTTTATATATTACGCTGGGTAATATCCGCGCAATTGGATATGCGTTCCCTAGAGCAGTGCTCTGCAGTATGTAAAGGTTTATATTTATGCGCTCGCGATGAAGAGCTTTGGCGCCTAGCTTGCGTAAAGTAGGTTTTCTTATTTTTTACAATTAAAAATACAACAGATGATGATTCCTCTATTTTACAGAGTGTGGGGTCCAAATGTGGGCACTTTAAGCCATACTGATTTGGATAAAACAAGCGCTACAACAAAAGTCGGAGATTGCCCTATTATACCACGCTATACAACATGGCGTCAAATGTTTATTGAACGTGAACGTGTTCTCTTCAATGGCTGTTATATAAGCAAGACAACTTATCTGCGAATGGGTGAAAATAGTTTTCAAGACCAATATTATCGTCCTGTACAGTTGGTGGAATATTATCGTTATTTAAGATTTCTAACCGATGGCACGGTCTTTATGATGACTAGCGCAGATGAACCCGCCCAGGCAGTTAGTCGATTAAGAAATATAAATCAAAACAAAACCGAAATACTGAAAGGTCGATATCGTTTGTATGGAAATACCTTATCGATTGTATTGAAGAAGCAACAACAACCCCAATTGCAAACAAAATTCATATCTGCATCAACTAATTTACCGTCAACTGCTACGTTGATTTACGGACGTCAACGCCGCAACAATGTAAATCTAGCTGACGACAATGCCGGGAATAGCACTAAATATTGTTTAGAATTTCGTATACTGAATACGACAAAACGCAAGTTCGGGCAATTAATGTGGGTACATTATTCTATCGTACAGACTCGTAATAAACATGAAACCACATCCGAATTCGATCTCAGTCCGTCGAAATATCCACCTCTGTGGTTTTCTATTGTACGCAGTTATCATTCGGATGCTGATAAACCACTTATTTGAATAAAATTATCTCTATAAACTAAGCTCTAAAAACCTTACATTTAATACAAGTCGATTTTATTTCAAAATTCAAATTTCCAATAAAATGCTTGAGTGCCCCCGGGTAGACAAAGAGAGTTTCGACTAAGAACTCAATAGGTGTCTGTAGAGTTTTCAATAAAGCCGATAGCGTTAGATGCAATGCTTCAAGACTTTAGTCTTAGAATTTACTACTCTCTGGTTAATTAATAAAAATAATAATAAAAAGTCGAAGGGTCGACATTGTAGAACATCGTTTCCCAAAATTCATGCTATTACTTCGTTTCGAGAGCAAAAGTTCCCTCTCCCCGCTTTGTCACCTTAGAATTTTTAAAGCGCCAACGAATCGGTTTCGTTTTCAATTGTTTTTTTTCTCTCTTTTATTTGATCAGTTCAGTTCATTGATTGAAATAATAGTAAAAAAATTTTGGATTATTATAGGATTTTGTTAGGTGCCAGCGAAAGGTCATTATAAATATATACATATATGTATACACATATATGTCCCATAATTGACATTGCAATTACGACCTCAAGATCTTGTCTATCATTATAAATTCCTGTTGGCTGAAAGGTTTGCTTTATTGGTGGAATCGGTGAATTGCAACTACATATATATATATACATATAAATATAGTTGAATTTACAATTTGTTTAAACATATATCAAAGTAGATGCTAGTATGGAATTTAATTCGAATAAGATGAAAAGAAAAGAAACAGGATAACGGCTTGCGAGTGAATCAGTTAAAACATGCTACGAACTTTTGCACGGTGTTTGCGAAATAGCACGAAAAATGTACTTTCGTTTAGTGTCAAATGTAAATCAAATAGATCTCCTAAGGAGGTTGTAATATTAACATGGGTCCAATGCAGTCTATAATATGTGCATATTATTGATCACCACGAGTTTTTGGAGGCTCAAAGACGAGAAAAGACGAAGGATTGAAAATACAGTTGACTCTGATAGTAGATCTGATATTTTGCAGCAAACAACGCACTATACAGCACTACATAGCATCCGTTTTCTCCATTGTATTCTTTTGCACTTAAAGAACAAAACTCCAAACCATCGCTGACAGTCCAAATTTATCCTTTTTTTTTGTTGTATACGTTTCGTTATGAGAATGAAGTCGATTTTTAGACGTTGGTATCCACATATCCGGCAAAATGATGAGTTTTTGGAACTACATATCATAAATGTTTTTAACTTACGTTCCTTTAGTTAAAAAAAAAAAAAAAATAGATTTGTTTTCTTTTCTTTCTAATCAGCATCTAATCTTATAGTTTATTCACTCATTTCTATATTATTCAGTTTCTTTTTTTGTTTCACAAATAATATAAAACGACTTACACACACAAAGCAACAATAAAATCTCTTCGAAAAGAAAGAGAGAAAAACGTTATTTTCCAAATACGTTATCTAAATAATAATCACAAATTTTCCTTTTAATAAAATCTATTTAAAAATTTAAAATAGAAAATAATAATCACTTGAAAATGTTGCATTTTCATTATCAAATAGTGGACTGGAATTGACAGGCTAAGCTGATTACGTTTGTCTATTTATCTTTTTGGAGAAATCTACATTTTTCTCCTAAGTTCATTTTAAAATCCCTTTTTTACTTAATAGTTTAGTTTTCTTTTAATTACTTATTGTTTTGGAAAAACTTAAGTGTAACGCGTTGGAGTAAGATTTGAAATCCGCTCTTTTTACATCTACTGAATGTGGTTTAGCAGGAAATTGCACAATATTCTTAAATATAAAAATATAGCTTGGGATATATAATAGGAAGAAAATTGAGGGAGAGAAGGAGAAAGGAGAGAAGCATTATAATATAATATTCGTAAGAGTTTTGACTTTTCTGAAGTAGTTTAGTTGCTTGTTTTAAAAATTATCTCGAGGTACCTTCTTCCTTTCTGATTTGCTTACTTTTCTTACGTATTCTTAAAAGTGCCTAATTTTCCGCCTGAACTATGACGCGTTCATATCGCATTTTATCTGGTGTATCCCAGCAACTTTTTAGGCAAGTGAACACCAATATATTGCCGTATTCAATTGGAGCCGATTCACGATTTTGTTGCATTTTAAGTTTAGGTATTAAAGTGGAAAGTATTTGAACTTCACATATGGTCTCACCATTACAATTAGGACATTTAGGCACAGCTTCTTGTAAAGGAGCAATTAGAAGCGGTAGAGCGTCACGTGAATATCTAAACGAGAATTTATAAATACTTTACACGCATCCAAACAATATCTTATTATACCTTAAAATTTGACCTGGATTTTGTTGCAGAATACTAAGAAAATTATGGAACATAACATCGCCATGTGCTGGCAGAACTTTTTCATATGATTCTTGATCTTCGGGAGTTCTAACCACTCCTCCGCAATCGTTATCAGATTGTTGTCCATTATTTGGTGAGTGGGCGGATTCATCTTGCTTTTTGTATTCCTGGTATAAGTCTCTAATGTGTTCTGCCGATAGGCAACCATCGTAATTTTCATACTCCTTGCTTTGAGAATGCACTTCAAGCTCTACTGCCAAGAAGAACGGTTTCAAAGTAACCTCTGATAATTTGGCTAAAGGCCCAAAGGAAGTTGGCGTAGGAGTATGTTTTAATAAAGCTACTAAATCGCGCTCCGGTTTTTCTGGTGTTTCCACCAGCACTACATCGGTTTCGGGGCCTTCAATTTCAGCACATATTGCGGCCGAAGCGCCACTACAGGCATAATTACCGTCCTTTTCAACTGAAGCGGCGGCCGCTGCACAATTTGCATTCGGGTCTTCAACTATTTGATGCTGAGGCGTCATCTCAATTTGATGGAAACCGCTGATTAGTTCATTATCCATGGAATTGCTATCGTCTTCATCATCTTCTTCGTTTAACGCAATTTCTTCTTCGACTACATTATCCAATGGGGTAATATCGTTATTTGCTCGAATAATATTACCATTTTCCTCTTCATGTTGCTCTAATAAAGGCTCGTCAGCCTCGATATCCATCTTCTCCAAAGTGCCAATTAAAGCGTTATCGTCGCCGCCCCAGTCATCTGCGCCACTACACCAGGAAATTTTATTAGTTGGTTTTGCTACTTGTTTCTTTTTGCCTTGTTTACCACCACCGCCATTTATAGGCTTTGACGAGGCTAGCCCTTTCATTATATCACATTGGCCTATTGTCTCCAAATGCTGAGTGCGTACACACAGCCAACTTTTCGAATTTTGTGAACATGACGGATTAAGGCAAGCAAATATGTACAGAGAACGATGAAACTGGGATAATTCTAATGGAGCATATAATTGAACAATTAAAGGCCTAGCTGTTCCACACAAAGAGCATGCTGGTATTTTAATATCACCATTCGGCCAATCCTGTCACCGCGCATCAATTATTTATTCATTTGCATATAGTCAAGAGGGAAAAATCAATTTTATTCACCCATTTCACCATCCACGCATTGAAATTTTTCACTTACCGGAGTTCCACCAATTTTATTTAAACTACTACTTAAGAGGGATACATGCTTATCCGTTATTTCTTCATCTTCGTATCCTAAATAAACCGTACTTTTATTTTTTGCCATAATTCCTTTGAAAAAAGTCAATCCTTCATAAAATTCGATTTAATGCAGACAAGTTCTATACGAAACTTGCCAGGGCTTTTCTTAACCGCAGGAAGAAGCAAAAACGGTATTAACATCTGACAGGGATGCTAATTGCTGCACCACAAGTAATTGAAGTTAACAAACTTATTATTAAAAATAACAAACTTAAATTCTTTGCCAGGAAAAGAAAATGTACGTTTACAATTAATTGCACTGCAAAAATCAAGAAACACACAAACATAAGCTAAAGGAAGCTTCGGAATTTTATTCATGTTTGTACAGCTCAGAAAAATGCTAAAGAAATAAAAATAAAGTGGGAGTAATGGAAAAACTTTAGATATTCGTCGATAATTCGTTAAGAGTGGAATTTCAAATGTCTGCTTATTTATTTCCTTCCTTTATATGAAGATTATTTCGTTTTTTTTCAATTAAAAATTACGTTGTAGGAACTAATACTGCTTTTGATGGAATACACTCAATATGTTGATCATTTAAAAGGAATTATGGCACTCTTTCTAACGAAGTTTTTCTTTGAGCGGAACATCGAACTCGCCAAACTACTATTAGTTACTATCTACTAGTGGTGAGTATAAAATTCAGTTCTCGTCTGTGGTGGGCTGACAGCACTGTTCTTTCAATCACAGAAATGACAATTCTTATATGGATTTTATTTGCGTGTGTTATGTATACATAGTTCATGAAGAGAAAATTGTTGATTTGAGGTCATTATTTACTCATCAAATGAGTAAATATTTTAATAATTGACTTTAAATCGACTGAAATGCAGCAAAAAATCAAATACAAAAGATTTAATTGAAAAAGTTGTGGTGTAGGAGAATTCTCCAGTGCTTTTAAACGTTAACCCGCTTGACCCACCCATAAAAAATATTCTCTATGGGCGCAGTCTAGTGAAAACTCTATTAGCATAATTAAAGTTACTCCTTCATTAATGAAAGCTAATTAAAAACTATATAAAACACGCAAAAAATGACTGAGAAAATTACATTAGCTGACGCTCTATCCAATGTGGAAGTTCTTGATGAATTATCCTTGCCAGATGAACAGCCCTGTATAGAGGCTCAACCGTGTTCGGTTATATACAAAGCCAATTTTGATACAAATTTTGAGGACCGCAATGGTTTTGTAACGGGTATAGCCAAATACATTGAAGAGGCCACTACCCATGCAAATCTGGTAAACAAGATCCGTTTGTGCTAATGAATAGTTTTAATTTTGTTTTGTTATTTTCAGAATGTCTTACTGGAAGAAGGTCAAAAACATGCGGTAATGCTTTATACTTGGCGATGTTGTTCTCGAGCTATACCGCAGCCTAAATCAAATGAACAACCGAACCGTGTAGAAATCTACGAGAAAACTGTCGAAGTGTTAGCGCCCGAAGTGAATAAACTTTTGAATTTCATGTATTTTCAGCGAAAGGCGATTGAAGCCTTTTCGGGAGAAGTCAAACGTCTTTGCCATGCAGAGAAACGTAAGGATTTTGTTTCCGAGGCGTATTTATTAACATTGGGAAAATTCATCAATATGTTCGCGGTTTTGGACGAGCTGAAGAATATGAAATCCAGTGTGAAAAATGATTACAGTACCTATCGTCGTGCTGCTCAATTTCTTAAAGTCATGTCGGACTCGCACACTCTCCAGGAGTCACAAAATCTCTCCTTATTCTTGGCAACACAAAACAAAATACGTGATACTGTTAAAGATACGCTAGAGAAGATTGTAGGTTATGAAGACCTTTTGTCGGATGTAGTGAATATATGCGTTCATATGTTCGAAACGAAAATGTATTTGACACCAGAAGAAAAACACATGCTGGTGAAAGTCATGGGTTTCGGCCTATTTCTCATGGACAGTGAGGCGTGCAATATCAATAAACTAGATCAGAAGAAAAAAGTACGTTTAGATCGCATTGATCGTATATTCAAGAATTTAGAAGTTGTACCACTTTTCGGCGATATGCAAATAGCTCCCTTCAATTATATTAAGTGCAGTAAGCATTTCGATCAAAGCAAATGGCCTTTGTCGACTTCAACTGCTACGAGCCCCCAAGCTGATTTAATGGTTCACTTGCCACAAATACGCGAGGATCATGTTAAATACATATCAGAGCTGGCACGGTATACAAACGAAGTTACAACAACCGTTAAGGAGAATCCCACAGATGCTGAAAATAGAGCTACCGCCGATTTAGCGTTGAGAGGTTTGCAATTGCTATCCGAGTGGACTAGCGTTGTAACGGAATTGTACTCTTGGAAATTGCTGCACCCTACCGATCATCATCTCAATAAAGAATGTCCCGTCGAGGCCGAAGAATATGAAAGAGCAACACGTTATAACTATACTTCAGAAGAAAAATTTGCCTTAATCGAAGTTATTGCTATGATTAAAGGATTGCAGGTCAAAGAAAAAAGAAAGATTGATATTAATTTAGGAATTTTTAAAATCGTTTGAATTACAGGTTCTAATGGCTCGGATTGAGACAGTATTGTGTGAAGCTATACGTCGTAATATATATTCCGAATTGCAAGATTTTGTGCAACTTTCTTTGAGAGAGCCCATGCGTAAAGCTATTAAAAATAAAAAAGATTTAATACGCAGTATAATAATGTCGGTACGTGAAACGGCAGCCGATTGGCAGAAGGGATCCGAGCCAACCGACGATCCTGCCACTAAAGGGAAAAAAGATCCTGATGGCGGTTTTCGCATACATGTGCCACGTCTTAATGTTGGACCCTCTTCCACGCAATTGTATATGGTCCGTACAATGCTGGAATCACTTATTGCCGATAAAAGTGGCGGTAAACGAACTTTACGCAAAGACATTGACGGCAATTGTTTAATGCAAATCGATACGTTTCACAAGACTTCCTTCTACTGGAGCTATTTATTAAATTTTAGCGATACATTGCAAAAATGTTGCGATCTTTCCCAACTATGGTATCGTGAATTCTACTTGGAAATGACCATGGGTCGTAGAGTGAATAAGTGTACTGTTAAGCATCAACATAATGAAGAGTGTAAAGATTTAATTACCATGGAGAAGCGTATACAATTCCCTATTGAAATGTCAATGCCATGGATATTAACGGATCACATTTTACAAACCAAGGAACCCTCGATGATGGAGTATGTAATGATTTTATAATTACAATCTGAAAAATTATAGTATTTGTTATAATTCTTCCGTAGATTTGTTTTATATCCATTGGATTTGTATAATGATTCGGCTCATTATGCTTTAACGGTTTTCCGTAAACAATTCCTTTACGATGAAGTCGAAGCTGAAGTAAATCTTTGCTTTGATCAGTTCGTTTACAAATTAAGCGAACAGATCTTTGCCCATTATAAACAATTGGCAGGCAGGTAAATCATAATAAGCAGGATAGAGGGTGTGCAAGATACCCAACGCCGGACGCTTGATAATTTTTCTATTTCATTTGTGACAACCAGGAGTAGGGCGTACTAAGTACATGCATCACCCTGAGCTCGCAATTATTGAGATACAAAGTTCTCAGTCCATCTACATATTTTTGAATCAATTTCATACCAATCAAGTACAAACATTACCACTGTCCGACCGAAAAAACCTGCAGAAATCATGTAATTTGAACGAAAACTAGACATTTTACAAACAACAACAACAACAATAACTGATACTGATTATAAACTAGAGATTTCTTTTTAATTTGAGCAAAGTAAAGAACAAGCTCCCTTTAATCCTTTGACACGTTTTCAAATAATTAAGTAATAGTTTAGACGATGGGTATGTGCAAGATTCGCTCAAAAAGAATACAAAATTTCTCACATTTCACAATTTACTTGAAGCATTTTCTTGGATAAACGTTTCCGTTTGGAATGTGAGGTCCTAGGTTTTAATTTCCAATCATGTCCACGCAATAATCGTTATGAGACTTTATTAAAACAAAGACATGTTCAATTGCTGGGTAAGTAAAATAAGCTGATCAAATAATAAGTACTAATGTGAGGGTCGGTTTTCAGGTCGTTCCATAGATTTGAATAAGCTGATAACCCAACGCATTAATGCGAATATGCATAAAAGCATTGAACTAGCCATCAGTCGTTTTGAGGGTACAGACATTACTGGAATTGTGGTGAGTACACAAAGAGTATATACACACAATAATAACGAGTGCCTCGAAAAATGTTAAATTAAAAAAAAAAAAAAAAAAAAAAAAAATTAAATAAAAAATGTGAACGGATCGATCATTAATTTTTCCTCTAAAAAAAACATTTAAAAGGAACTTGAAGGTTTATTGGAATGTAATCGTATTTGCCATAAATTACTGAGTAAATACTTGGCTTTGGACAATTTTGAGGCGATGGTCAAAGAAGCGAATCACAACGTTTTAGCTCCCTACGGCCGCATCACTCTGCATGTATTTGTTGAATTGAATTATGATTTTTTGGTCAATTATTGCTACAATGCGGCAACCAATCGGTAAATTATAAATTTTATAAATCAACTTAAATATGTGTATTGTGTGTATTTAATTAATCTAATATAAATTTTAGATTTGTACGCAGCAAAGTTAATTTGGCATCTGCGCAACCTATACAACGTGAAAAGCCTTCGCAAATGTCTCATTATTATTTATGGGGTTCTAAGCAATTGAATGCTGCTTATTCAACGCAATACGGTCAATATTCGGGATTTGTTGGAGCACCGCACTTTCATGCCATGTGTCGTTTGTTAGGTTATCAAGGCATTGCAGTCGTTATGGATATTATTTTAAAGGACATAGTTAAACCTTTAATACAAGGTTCATTGTTGCAATTTACGAAAACTTTAATGAGCGCCATGCCCAAATCCTGTAAATTGCCCCGTTGTGAATATGGTTCACCTGGCGTATTAAGTTATTATCAAGCTCATCTCACGGACATTGTTCAATATCCGGATACAAAAACTGAACTTTTCCAATCATTTCGCGAATTCGGAAATTGCATAATATTTTGTTTATTAATTGAACAGGCATTGTCGCAAGAGGAGGTATGCGATTTACTACATGCCGCTTTATTTCAAAATATTTTTCCCCGACCATTTTGCAAGGGTAAGTAAAGTAAATACTCACAATACTCACGCGTTGTAATGTTTGATGTAATTGTAGAAAATGAAAAGCCAGAAGCCAAGCAAAAACGTTTGGAGGCTCAATTTGCAAATTTACAAATTGTTTCAAATGTTGAGAAATTGGGTACTGCTAAGGTAAAAGCTTTGAGAATGAATTTTTGCTTAAAACTATTTTAAATACATTATGATTTCTTATTCTTAGCAAGCTATGATTGCACGTGAAGGTGATTTATTGACACGCGAGCGCCTCTGTTGCGGACTTAGTATTTTCGAAGTTATACTCAATCGAATTAAAAGTTATTTGGACGATCCCGTCTGGACTGGACCATCGCCAGCTAATGGCATTATTCATGTTGATGAATGTTCAGAATTTCATCGTTTATGGTCGGCTTTGCAATTTGTTTATTGTATACCGGTAAGAGGCACTGAGTATACCATAGAAGAACTTTTCGGTGAAGGTTTAAATTGGGCTGGTTGTGCAATGATTGTTCTATTGGGTCAACAAAGGCGTTTCGAAGCTTTGGACTTTTGTTATCACATCTTAAGAGTGCAGCGTGTCGATGGCAAAGATGAAGATGTTAAAGGAATTGTAAGCATTAGTCTTTTTTACCAGTCACTTAATGTTTCATACTTACTGAATTATTTATACCTCATTTATATGGAAATTATGCAGAAACTTAAACGTATGGTAGACCGTATAAGACGCTTTCAAGTATTGAACTCGCAAATTTTCGCTATACTGAACAAATATCTGAAAGGTAGTGACATTGAAGGATCCAATGTGGAGCATGTACGGTGCTTCCCACCGCCGCAACATCCCTCTATTATATCGTCACATTACCAAGATCCAAATAAATTGCGGCAAAGCATGAATAATTAAATAATATATATATGTATATATATATATATATATATATATATACAAATGTAACAATGTAAGCAAAGTATATTTAAATAAGTTATAAAACATTGTTCACCACCAGTCGAAGACCCAAAAACCAAACGGTTTTTTTCTTTATTATTTATTTCTAAGCAAATAATTAAAATATCAATAGTATTCTAATCCAAAATACTTTAATGATTTTCCACACATAAAAACGAATTGTAATACAATGTTTTTTATATTTTGATATTATTTGATATTTATAATAATTATAATTATTAAACAAATACAGTCAATGCAATCTTAGATATTCGAAATTATTCGATTTCTTTATGATACACGCAATAAAGACGACTTACACGACCTGGATGATATTTCAAATATTCTAGAAATAAGGGAATATTTTGCATGCACAGAGGCGGAAAGAAGAAGATGACCTAATCTCTTTCGATTACGTCTTCAAATGAAGACCAAAGAAGTATAAATATATGATTTCAACTGCCGGAAGGTGATCGCAGTGTTTCAGTAAAAGAAATGGTTGTGCATGTATGCCTTCTAATTGTTACAGGCGGATGGGCATGTACTTCTTGACACAATGTTTAAATCATAAACCCCAAATATAGAAATTCAAAACTATATATGAAGAGTCAGGCTAGATTTCCTGAGGCTAAATAAGCACTGTCGTAAATCGATTTTTTGACACTTCATTCTTTAAATTTTTGGGTTTTGTGTGGGGGTGTGGTCATCGACTCATAAGCAGATTGTCTTATACTATTATACCACATTATGCATATTCGAGGCTATACTCGTCCAAACTGCCCTGTTCATCATTGGGTTTTTTTCACAGGTTCCAACACTCCTCACATGTGAGTATATTTTTCGATTTGTTACAAATACCCCAGGAAAGCTTCTTTTGCTTATAAGGTTTTCACGTTTTAATTGAAGATATTGAAAGCAATATATAAATATAGGAATTTCTTCACTTGTTGCTTTTATTGGCCTTAACTAAAGGTCGGAGAGAAAGAGAGAGAGAGAGCTGCGTAAGAAAGCAAAACCTTTACGTGGATTGCAGCTCTGCCCTGCTGTTCGTGAAATCCGTTATTTCAATTTACAGTTATTTAAATTTGGTCAGCGCTGCTGATGCACATATTTGCGACAAAACCCACGTATCACATTTCGTTTTTGAGGTCGATATATTGTTATTATGAGAACTGTATATATATAATATATTATACGAGATGGAAATGGTAGTCAACACTTTGAATTTAATTGCTGAGGCGATGCTGCATACAGTATTGTGATTGAGTAGTCGATACACGACTTAAAGTCAGAAGCTTTCCAATATTTGTTGCAAAAAGCCGCCCAACTGCTTCAAAATATGCGTCTATTTCTCAAGTTGATGCTAAAAATATTTGTAGATCGCCCAGAAAACTACAACATGCTCGTTCAAGTATATGCGAATATGAACAACACAGATGAAGAGTACAATAACATCGAAATGCGACAAAAATTATCGGATTATTTGGAAAGCAACTATGCAGATGAATTCTGGCGTTTATCGCCGTCTCACATGCCAAACGGTTTAATTTACGTCTTAATTAATGTATTTAACTAATGTTGAAAATGCAGAGCGTAAAACTACATCGCATCATGTGAATCAATATATTTGGAGAACCAGTATAGAATAAAATAAATGCGCAGGTTTATGGATTAGTGTTAGAATAGTATTACACGATACGCTTGTAATCCTTAGCATGGGCATTTTCATTATGTATTATGTAATTTAAAGAGAAGTTTCATTTAATTCAATTTACTTCAATTTAACGCAATTAATTCATTCTTATAATGAAGTTAAAGAATGCTTTCGCGCTAATGATGGTGAATATATATGCAATCTTTGCTATGTAAACGATTTTTATAGAGGAAGGAGTAGTAGGAAACCCGTAAGGTAATGAGCTATAATTGTCTCAATTATTAAAAAATTTTGCAAATTGAATGCTAGTAATAATGTCGGCCGCACTAACCTTTCAGCTACCCTTGGCCCGATATTCACGACATATGTTATGAATAACATAGGTTATACGTGTAGCGATCTTTTGGTATACAAGTTCCTTGTCCGATCAAAAATTGAATTCGCTTGGTTTGCTCTGGTCTCACCAGCTAATTTGATTTCAAATATTTTGAAGATTTTTAATCCGAAGGTACTGACTCAAAACATAATACATATTACTACACCAGGATTCTAAATAAAAAATTGTGCGGAGAAGTACGATGACCTTTGCAATCTTGAGCCATTGCCACCAGGACAAGGTAGATTCCCCTTTTGCTCAACACGTTCTGAATGCAGTAAAAATATTTTTTCAAATAAAATATTTTAAATATCGTTTTTTTACTATTCAAAATTATACGTAGTATATGAAATATTTATTCGGGTATTGATATATATAAAGGCAGAAACACAATAATTATTAGTTCTTTTTCGATCGATATTGGAACGAGATAATAAAATTATCTGTATGTTTACGTAGTGGTTGGAATACCTAATCGAGTCCATACACCCTTGAATATTTATTATTATTATGGTTATCTTTATATTTAATTGCAGGAACAATAACGCGGTTTATTGATTGCAGAGGCATTTCGATTCGTGATTGTATTGAACCAGAACATCAAAGTTATCTGGATAATGACGTGGCAGTTGTAAACCTACAGCATCGACAGCGTGGTAGCAAGCGCCGAACGCGCTTGATTTCTTAAGTCGCACCAAATTAATATCGAATGTTATGTTAGCCTTTTGAAGACCGCTTAGAAATCCTGCTACAAGTAGCGGCAAACTCAACCATACTGAGCCCACACACACTATTTTAAAGGGATCCGATTTCAGATCGTCTGTTTGTACCTTAGGTATCAAAGCTGCAGCCATTCTGCCTAAATTATCACCAGCTTCGTCGAATAGATATTTTGCTAACCGGTCACCTTCCTCAGCCGCACGAGATAGTTTTATACATAACCGGGCAAAGAATGATTTATCAAACTTTTTGTAGAAATGTGGCAGCATATCTCCTCTATTTTCAACTTTAAAATACTCTTTGATTAAACTCCAAACGAGTTCTATTGGATATGGTGATTTGCGTAGTCCATCCATATCATCAAAAACGATTTTTACAGCCCGAAGAGCGATGTGAAAAGCTTTAAAATTTATTATTTTGCATATTTAATTGTCATCATGCCTTCGAAATTGCTCAAAATTATGGAACTCACCACTGCCCTCGTCGCCCATAAAATGACCCCAACCGCCACAATTGTAAGAAGAACCATCCGGATTAATCACATGAGCATTCGAACCAGTACCCGAAATCAAGACCATACCACCATTTGGAGAAGCTGTATAGATACTACCAATTGTATCTTCACTACATACATAACTCTTGGCCAAATCTGGAAATGAAGATCTCAGGAGATCCTTCAATTCTTGCTGCACGTCTTTCTTAAAAGCGAAAGTTCCACAACGCGGAGCTCATATCATTTTTTTTGCACTCGATTCAATTTCAATAATATTACCTGTCCAAGACCGCTTAAACTTAATCCTAATACGTCTAAAGGTGTATCTTCCGATATGTCTGCCAATTCTTTTGCACGTTCCACCATTTCAGCTAAACGTGCGACCGTTAAATCCATACCAATCTGCCAATGATTTGTTCCCAAACCTTCGAGTATACTGATACAGTCACCCGTCTCATCGCATATTATACAAGTGGAATGTGAAGCCCCACTTTTGAAAGTGAAAAAAAAAAGGTCAGAAAAATATTGTATGATTTTAACAAGTATTCTCCCTTTAACGGTCACTCACCCTTCAATACCAGCAAAATATGGCATTTTTTTTTTTAGCGAGACTTTATCAGTTTCGGTGGAACAACTGAAAACATATAAAAAAGACAACAATTTGTAACAGTATCCTAATAAAAGTTAAAAAAAAAAAATTCCCAAAAATCCATTCATTTTATTTGTTTCACTTTATAAGGGCGAGGAGGGATGGGATGGGATTAAAAGTTTGCTTATTGCCATTATTTTTCAATTAAATTGGACAGTTTTCACTTCACTAACAAAGACGATCAAGTATACTGGAATATATTATCATATCTAATAGTATCCCTTAAATATACACTAAAAATTCGATAACTATATCATTTCAGATCAGGGTAAGATGCCAACTTGCATTTATTGTAGCTTTCACAATCGCAAAATTGAGAAAAATGATTAAAATTTGACCAAGTTCGCCCCCAACAAGTCACATACCCGAAAAGTGAAGCGAAGGTGCGAAAGTAATATTCTAGAGAATAATTTGTAAGCACTACTACATTCAAAAATATTAACTTTTTTACATCGATTTGATCAGTTGATAATAACCATTATATATTAAGATTTAGTCAAGCTGGATAAAGACTTTCTACGAAAGAATATACAATTATGTGTTAGAATGCTTTAATTGTTTAGCGCTGTGGGGATCGGTACAATCGGAGAAGTTAACGATAAACTTATTATTGTAAAGCAAAGAGCAGAAATTAATTGTTTATTTACTTTGTTTTTTCTAATAGTGAGTGGTTTTGGGCGCGCGCGCGCGAGAGAGGGAAAGAGAGAGAAAGAAAAAAACGCTTCCAGCAGAGACAACGAAACACATAGACCAATTTCAACATCATTTTGTTCAAAATTGAGATTAAGAGTTTTTTAGGGACTTTATGTGTCTATTATCAATAACAATCGTAACTCTGTTAAGTAGCAGCCATTGGTATGCACTTGCTCTTTCATTTTCGTTTTCATATAAGGAAATATTGTATTATTAAAAAAAAATTTATTATCTTTATTTAGTTTGTTTATTTAAAAACTATTTATAAACTATTAACAGAATCTTTGCGTTTACAACGAATGAGAATGAAAGAGAAAGCATACAATTAGGCTACTAATTAACAGTTACTACTGTTGTTAATAACAAACACACAGCAAGTCTCCAAGAATCTCTTAATTTCAATATTTAAGCATTTCGTTTTCTCTGGTATAACGGTTTTGTTATGTTAACACATCTCCAGTAATGGGTATAATAAACTTGTTAACACTAGACTTACGGCACCGGTAAATTTAACACGTTTGTGATTTCAAGCTCAAAAATTCGGCACAAGTAAGTAGATATCTTCAAATGTTCAATGTATACTGGTTTTTAATGATTCAGTGCAGCAAATATATAGACATATGTCAGTCCATTTTTCTTAAACAAGGCCACTTTTTTTGTTTCTAGATGTGGTATATCTATTTTTACGGAAACTTGTTTACTGATTACCTGGAAAAATTCTGCATACAAATAGGCGACTTTTCTGGTCAATTTTACTATTACCTAATATGTAATAATATATAACAGTTAATTGTGAACATATAATTGAATCGACCGAGGCCATTTTTTTACCAAATATGCCGGTGATCCTGACAAATATTTAAATATAGAAACGTATTCATCGTCTCGAAAATTATAGACAAAGATATGAAAAAATTGTTGGGGTTTTTCGGGATTGTTTCCACTTCTCCTATGTGGTGGCCGTGTATGTGAAGAGATCGCCCCCATTTCTTAACCGCATATTCTGCACATGTCGATCAAGGAGTGTATGTGCCAACTGAAATGCTGAAAGCTGCGATGCTTCACAAATCATCAAATTGCCCATCAAATTGATAGGTTTTAGTAAAAATACAAAACATCTGTAAAATTAGGGTTAAATATTTCATTCGCGTTCACCAGTTTCTCTGATTCATATTATTACCAATATAAATGCAACGTTATTTGAAATTTCACAAAAATCCATTTACATTCATTTATCACAATTTTCATTTTAAATTAAAATTTGTATTAATTTCGTATTCTCATCGTACCCGTAAATAATTTTGAAAAGCACTTACGGATGTTATTACTGTTATGTTTAGTGGATTCCAAGCAATATAATGTCGATATGTGATGTTGATATTTTATACCTTTAATGTTAAATAATAATAACGCTTCACTTAACGAACGCACAGCGTAGACTGAATGAAAAAGTTAAATGCAAACACCGGACAAGCACAAACCAATGATTATATTTTAAATTTCTTATATGATTTTTTGTTGTTCTTTTGTTTTCTTAATATCAAACAATCGAAATAGAAAGGAAGCCTTCTCTTTACTAATACTATGCGTACATTTCCTTTTCTCTTTTTGCTCTCTTACTCACTAAATGCAATTGGATAAATGTCATAAGAAAGTTGCGGAAGCTTTAGAAACAGCCGTTACGTTAACTATGGTAAATAAATTGAACTTTTTAGGCATTAAATAGAAAATCAGATTAAATTCGGCAAAAGTTTAGTAAACTCCGTTAATTCAGGTAAATAAATTGAGATTTTTAGACATTAAATAGAAAATCAGATTAAATTTGGCAAAACTTTCTTTTTGTTTTTATGTAAGAGAGAGAGAGAAAGGAGAGAGGAGTTTGACTATAACTATGCATATGAGGTTACAAATTATTATAATCTTTTTTCTTTTACGATCATTTGGCTTTTTTATGATAATTGAAATGAGCGTGAACTAGTTTTTTTTTTTTTTTTTGTTATTTAAAGAGCAGCAGTGTAGAAGCGTCTACGAATATACAGAGTGTTATTGCTATGTACCACATTTTCCGTTTAATTAACAATTTGTAATGCTTTTTGATTTATATTTTTGTTGTTTATTTGCTATTGCCCTGTTCAGCAATTCTATTAGAGAGCGTATATATACATAATTTTCAAGGATACCTCTTCTACTTCTGCAATATAAAATCTTATACTCGATGCATTCTTGCAACAGAGTAACAATTTTTTGTTTTTTTTGCACTTTTTATTAATACTTATCCAAAACTCACTTTCTGCTATGCTACACTCCCTGTTTCAATCGAAAACAATGACTGCCGTTGCTTTGCATTGAACATGTTCACTTAAGTAGAGAATAAGTAAATTGAGTTTATTATCTATGACAATTATAAGCCGACATTCTCTGCCGGTTTGTGGCTTTTTACTTTAATGTTTGTTGAGTTAAGATTACAAACATCTTTCAATTTCAATCATCTCTCACTCAACACGGTTAATTCATAACGCGCTGCATCGAGACCGACTGTCATGTGATACTCTTTTTATTCTGCTAAACTAGAATACCATCTCGAACGAAGTTATTTAAACTATGATATAACATTATTCAAAAAAGTGTAGACCGTACTGTATCGAGACCGTGTTATGAGATACCTTGAAGTAACAAGATTCAAGGCAATGTGTACCGTGTTGTATCGAAACCCCAGTAGAGTGTGTCAAGATCATGTTATAAGGTACCATGAATAATGCGATTCAGTGTAATGTGCGCTGCGTTGTATCGAAACCGAGTCTCCAGCCTGAGTGTACAATCTTATAGTAAAAGTTGTATTAATACTATGTAAATTGAAAAGTAAGTCCACTTTGTAGTTTACATAGAAAAAGTGAATTTCAACATTTTGATGAAATACAAAAATTAAAAATATTATCAAAAAGTAATGATGACGATCACAAAATTAATTTTCATCAAAAATTACAGATAATCTATTTTCGTTTGTCCTTTATAGCGATAAAATCAAAATAAAAGCAAAGATCAATTGAAAAAACGTATATTCGGGTTTCTGAAATCGTGCTATATCCAAACCATGTTATAATTCTTGAAAACTTTGTGTGCAAGTACTGTGTTAGGCCACCACTGTCTGTCTTAAGAAATCCAATAATGAGAAAATGAGAAGAAATATGAAGTCGATAACAAATCGAAAGCGATTATCACATAGCAACACACTAAAGCGCGTTAGTAAAAGAGAAAAAAAAAACCTTTATTTCTAACTGGAAAAAAAGGGGTATGAGTTGATAGAAGCAATCGACAATTAATGTAATGCATGAACGCTATGAGTGAAGGAAGGCAGTAAACATATAGATCTCTCGTATTATTAATATAACTGCATTTTGTGCTCCCCGTTAAATCGAGAGAAAACTTGAAGTTTTGTTTATTTCGCACCATCGACGGTATATGTGATTCTTCATTCTAATGGTAACAAATCTTTAAATGTTTTGCCTGATTGTTATTTGCGTCGTGCAATCAATATACAGAGATAAAAACCGAATTATCAGAGCAACTAGAAATAGGGAGTGTGTCAGCGTTGGTAGGTTCGATTAACGTCTCAAAATTCCTGCAATGCTTACATGATGACTTATGTGTGGCACCATTAAATCAATATTAAGTTGATTTCTTGATTTCTAGAGTCAGCTGACTATAGTTGGGTTTGGCGCTTGATGCAGAAATTATGCCAATTATGTTATTATTACAATTTACTTAACTAACAAAGTTTCTCAATAAAAAGAAATACTTATGCGAGGAATGAAGAATTTGCAAGTCTTTCTAATGCAATTGTTACCCCGAAAAGCTTACGCATGGAAAGATCGTCAATGTGCACAGGTTACATCTAGTTAAAATTTTGATGCAGATGGTCGAATATAAGTGAGTCATCATATATTCCCATTAGCGCTCCCGGTACTAAGTATGGCTAATGAAAGCTCTTGACCGACCCATGTGATTTTCTTAGCACTACGGGATTATGCATACATGTATATATATAAATATATATTATAACCACCACCGTTGCACTCACCAGTCGCATCACATATTATATTATGCAAGTGGAACACGTTTCACCACTTTCCGAGGATACAAAGGCTTTTGAACGATAAAAAAGGATTTTTCTTAAACGGACTAAAAACTGACCCTTCATTTTTTAAAACAAGCGCGTTCAAATTGTTTTAACTCCAGCATTAGACAGTAAGTTGCCATACTTTAGACGGCAAAGAACTTCGTGGAAATTGATGAATGATTTTGATTTACCGGTTTCTTGTCCGTAATAAAAATCACGACTTAAATATTTCCTAACAAACAAGAAAATTTTTCGATATTTTTGGTTTGAAAAAATCTGTTAGTATAACTTTTTCGAAGATTTCGAAATATCTTCAACTATACTTGGTTTTGCCTTTTAGTTTTCTAATATATTTTAGTATATAGCTTAACTTCTCCTTTTTGCTAATTTACTTAATAATAGTAATTCTCAGCATAGATCCAGCTGCTCATCAAATTTCGCTTGTTTACGTAACATAACATCATTATATAAAAGAATGGACAGAAAAAGAATATAATTTGGATAAGCAATGTATAACATCTATCGTACGGTTGTTCGATTTTGTTTTGCCAGATTAAATATTGTCAACTCAGTCATGACCGGGCCATTAATCTATTTAACATTGAATTTTTTTTTTCGAATGCCAGATCTTGTTATCAGTTTTACTCAGCCTTAAATAAGTATATATTAATAATGAAATGAGTAAAGTAATGGACAGTTCGTGATTGAGTTGAATATTAAAGAATATTCGCAGGAAAATGAAATTATTTTTATTAATTATATGTTGTTTTCTAACAATAGATATTTCATTAGAAGTGCCAACATATATCGCGTTGCATAAATTAATTGCTAATGATTTCCTAAAGAAGCAATACAATTTTTATAATGGTTATGATTACTTTAATCTATTGCCGCCGTCATCATCGTGGGAGCATAGTGTGAAGTCGAAAAATGATCATATTTCAGATAGGCGAGGAAAGTCGTATAAGGACATCTGCCGCATGGTGAACACGAATGGTTTTACTAATCCAGGCGGAGTACCAGTGTGTCCTTATTAAAAATGAAACATTTGCTTACTTATTTGCTTAACGTTTCAAATATCTTTTTTTTTGTTTTTTATTATATTAAATCGGAAATTGTTAATAATTTTTAATAACGTAATTGTGTGCTGAAAGGAAACATATATATATACATATATATATATATATATATATATTGTTTCAATAAATTATGTCGTGTACTGAATAAAAAAGCTTAAAGCATTAACTTATTTATATATAAAGAAGAATAAAATCGAGGGAACTCATCTTTATCACCACTTATATCATTCTAATAGGAAAATAGATGCAAATTTTTAAACATATATAAAAAATGCTTCACAACAAAATCATCTAACAATCCCTAAACAGTCTTGTGAGTCTTCCATGCTATTATCAATTTTTTTTTGACCCTTACAATTTTAGCCGGCTTATATATGGGTTTTGATTGGTTTAAAAAAGCCTCTTCTGTACTATGTAAAAAACGCACGCAAGAAAGAAAGCAAATGCAAAAAATAATAATATTTTATCAGTACATTCACGTCGCCCATATTTCTTTAGCAATTTTCCTGACTGCGATATAGTGCCGGCTGTATTTTGCAATTCCTCTCTTGTTGCTTGCACATCTTGAGAAGATGCCACCAATGTTTCCAGAGTAATGGCGCTTTTCTGGGTAGTTTCAGATAGATGTCGGGAAATGGCTAACATTTTTTCGGTGACATTGTTTTCCTGCGTTACTAAACTGCCGCGATTGTGAATTGTTGAACTGTGTCGCTGTCGTAAATCACTTTCTCCCGTAATCGCCATTAATTCTTCACGATTGGCCTTTTCAATTTCCAACATACTAGTCACATTAGCTTTTCGGAATGCCTGCAATACTTTTGAAAACTGTTCTCTCTGGATGTCAACTTCTTTTGACAAAGCTGGATCACCGGTATCTCGGGCCCAATCATTTAATCTATCGATATTTTTCCTCAAAGCAGATAATTTGGCACGGCCAGCTTCATTCAAAGCTTCTAATTCTTTTATTGAACCACGATAAGATAGAATATCCTAAAAAGTGAAATGATATTTTCCAACCCTCTCGATACGTTTGTAAAAGTATTCTTCATTACCTGGATAATGGCTTTGGCTTGTAAGTTATTATCTATTAACTGTTGTCTAATAGATTGTAAAGTGTACTTTTCTATCTCCATAACTACATTTATTTATATTTAAATTGTTTTTATAATTTTTTTCTATCTTACAATTTTATTATTAAACGAAAACAAAAACAAGTCATCAAACACAGCCAAATCACCGAAATCAGGGATGCTAAATAGGCAGAAATTAGTGTAAAAAAAATAACGCCAGTATCCCGAGATTTCTTGTATATTATTTCCCGCTTTTAATACTTGAATATATTTTTTCCATTTTTTTTTTTTTTTTTTTATAAAAATGAAGTAGACCTTTAAATATTCAACATTTTTTCCTATTAATTTGAAGTTTTTTTTAGTTTATTATTATTATTATTATTATTATAAATTTAGCCAGAGAATAAATTCTAAGACTAAAGTCTTAAAGCACTAGCATCTAGGGCTATCGGCTTTTATTAGTTTATAAATTGTATTGTGTAAGCAAAATGCACATGCATATATACACGAACATTTCCGTATAATAGATTTTATTAGGTCGTTTTCATATGAAATAAATCATCGTAGAATAACGCCGAAACGAACCTGCTATTCAGAGAGCGACGTTCTTACAACAATCAGCTGTTAACTGGTCGAAAAAAAGCTTTTTTTTGTTCATATCTCTCATTACGCTACTCTGTTAGCAGTCTGTTTAACTACGGTTGACTGTTAGACAATATTGTAATTTTCTCCTAAATCTTAACTTTTCTTTGATGCACAAATCTTTTATTTTAGATATAAAACGATACTTAAGTGAATTAAATTCACAATGGTATCAAGAAATTTGAAAAAACACGGAATTTTCATTACTAACATACGATCGTATCAGATGTGCCTATGATATATTCCAATAATATCTTTGCCGCAGTCGACGTTATTGCCAACATTCAATTCTTAAAATTATATAATAACTGAGACAATTATCAAGCAATCAAATTTTCCTTGGATATAGTTTTTCAACTTTTTTCTCTTTAAATCATATGCAGAGAAAATGTTGCATGTATGCTCGATTTTTACTAATACTGAGCATTTAAAAATCCTAATTGGCGCGAAACCACTCTTCAACTTCATTGCATGCAGCGAATTGAATTGAATTAAATTAGACGGCTTAGATATATTCGCGCGTACAGTTTTAACGCGTTCGAACTCCCAGCAAATAGTTTTAATTTTTTTTTCGCAATGGCTACGAAGAAAGAAAATAGTATTGCAAAGGTATATTTTGTCTGAGTTGGGAAATATTTGGAAGGGATTGAAATAAGTTCTTTGATGAAACAATTACACACTACACAGACGATGCATTGAAAGCTTAAATCTTATATGAGTATTGCTCCCAGCAAAATACTTAATTACGTTCTTATACAAGAGACTCAATATCGTCCATAACAACTCTAATACCAATTCACAAACACGTGCATTTTTATTTTATTCTATAATAACTATCCAAATTTATTAATTCACATTACGATTTTGTTTTATGCTTTACATATTCAAACTTAGCTAAATACTTCAGTTAAGATGTAAGTTAATATCTCCGTTTGGCATGTGAGATGGTGGTGAACGCAAGAAATCATCTGCGTAGTTGCTTTCCAAATAATCCCATAATTTTTGCCGCATTTCAGTATCATTATGGTATGTGCCGTATGCATTCATATCAGTATATGCTTGAACCAAGATGTCATAGCTCTCTGGGCCTTCAGATGATATTTTTAGCGATAACTTAAGAAAGAGAAACAAATTATGAAGACGTTGCATGGCTTTTACACATAAACGCAGGGATTTGTCCGATTTCGACGAATTTAGTATATTTTTTATCACATAACCCATATAAAGGCTCTCTTCACTAATTAATCTTAAGTTTTCAATTTCCATTTTCAGCGTGTTCATTAGGCTTTACGAGTAACACTTAGTTCTGCAATTTTAATAATAATAATAATAACTTCTGCAATGAAATATGGCACATGTGTTCTTCGTCCAATTTATACAGGTTGATGTGCACTTTGACTGAAAACATTTGAATAACTGCAAGAGCGCATAGAGTGAAAAGCTGCGTTTACTTTATTTGTGTTTGTGCAAACGTGCAGCTGCAAATCATTGGATGAAATTTGAATCTGCAGCCTACGTTGTTTTTAAGAAAATTCGGCTTAACTTTTAGAAGCCTCAAGACTTGAAGAAAAAGCTAATCAATCCTTTCACCTATGAGGTTTTGATGCTTAAGTTAAATACGTTGAAAACAATTAGTAGGTCACCAAAGCCCTTTTTTTTTCTTTTTGGATTATGAACACGCAAAAAGGCTTTATAATTAATAAAAATGAGAATATTTCAAATGTTTTTCTAATACTATCAATATTTTTCGTTTTTAAAAATATATTGCATTTTATAAGGAAACTACGAATTATAAATCATCAAAAATCTTCTTCTTCCACACTTAAGAGTTTCAAATAAATTCCTTATACAAAATGATAGTCTGCTTCTTCTTCCACATTTAAGAGTTTCAAATAAATTCCTTACACAAAATGATAGCCTGCTTAATGAAATATGCAAATGAAATCAGTGTGGAGTAACGTTGAAATAACTGTACGTCGTTTGCAATATGTCAGCTGTTAACTCTTTTTAAGCAAAGCGCTTCTTTTGTTTACGTCTTTATAGTAAGGAATATTAAAAGTTCGCTGGGCATTAAAATGGGCCGTTCTAATGCCAACTTGGAGGAATTAAGAACATATTTTAAAAGCCATAGTAAAATAAGGGAACAAAAAGCTCATACGTCTAAGGTAAAGAAATAAAATGAAATTTCGTTCTTTATTCCTTCTCATAGAGTAACATTACGGTTTCTTGATAGGTTCACTCCGTAGGTTGGAGTTGTGATGGACGACGTTTAGCTTCTGGATCGTTTGATAAAACAGTAACAGTTTACACTTTAGAAAAAGATCGTGTGGTATGTTCACAATATACGTACAGTTATTATTAGTTATGCTTTTTAATTCATTAAATAGAGTAAGGAAAACACATATCGTGGCCATACAGGACCGGTCGATCAATTATGCTGGCATGCTACCAATGCAGATCTCTTAAGTACAGCTAGTGGCGACAAGACTGTAAGAATTTGGGATATTAGAGTTGGGAAATGTGCTTCCAACACGAACACCAAAGGTGAAAATATTAATATTACTTGGTCACCAGATGGAAAAACTATAGCTGTCGGCAACAAAGAAGACTTGGTAACTTTTATTGACACGCGAACTAACAAAATACGAGCCGAAGAGCAATTTAATTTTGAAGTACGTTCTGATATAAATTCTATTGATAAGAAAAAATATATTAGCAAATAATTTTTTTATTTTTTTTAGGTCAATGAAATTGCTTGGAACAATAGTAGCGATTTGTTTTTTTTGACAAACGGCATGGGTTGTGTTCATATACTAAGCTATCCCAGCTTGGAGTTACACCATATTCTAAAAGCTCATCCGGCAACTTGTATATGCATAGAATTTGATCCTACTGGCAAATATTTTGCAACCGGTTCTGCAGATGCTTTGGTTTCGCTATGGGATGCAAATGAACTGGCTTGTTTACGTGTACTGTCACGTTTGGATTGGCCGGTCCGCACTATTTCCTTTAGTCATGATGCTAAATTACTGGCTTCGGCATCGGAAGACTTGATGATTGATATCGCTCATACCGAAACGGGCGAAAAAGTAGCTGATATACCAGTGGACGCTGCCACATTCACCGTAGCTTGGCATCCTAAGCAATATTTGTTAGCTTATGCATGCGACGATAAAGACAGCAACGACCGTCGTCGTGAAGCGGGTAATTTAAAAGTTTATGGATTTCAGGAGTGACTTTAATAAAATACAGTGTGTGAAACATATTCCCTGAATACTTTATTTAACAATGAGGACACATCACGATTGGTCAATGTTCTTATTATGAAATAGTAAATAAAACATTATGTTTAGAATTGCATTAAAAAATAGTGCGACGGAGGAAATTACTATAAATATGTTTGCTCTCAATTTCGTTTTAAAGATAACCGTAATTTGTTTCTTAGTTTTAGTCCTCCTAATTTAGGAGCATTATGATGAATGAATACAAGGGCATTAATATATTATCGCAATGAGGGTCCTTTAACTAGAAATTGTTGCAGATATCCGTGTTGCTAAAACGGCTTTGCCAACGTCCTTGTGTAGCTGCAAATTTATTCATCTACCTTGAAATCTCTTATATATTTAAATGAACAATCGATCTATGAAATGATCAATCGCTCCAATGTTTAAAAGCGTATCAGAATTCCTGTCAGTGGAAAGCAATGAGTAAAGACGGGGCTGATTCGCTTTCCCGGAAAAATTAAAACGTGTATCGTGCATGAGGGGTAAAAAAAGTTACTTGCCGAAGTTCAAAGTCTTTATAAGATTTTTCTTTGCCGTCGATAGTTAGTTGATGTATGGATCGCGCCCACTTTTCAATTTGGTCGATTGCATTAATCTTACAATATGTGTTCCAGATTTCTATCTAAATTCTTGCGATTTCAAGAGAGTCACGGGGAGGCAATAGAGGTACATACAGATGTCGTAATGGATGTAAAGCGTTGCCTTCGCCCTCTGCTCGTCGTTAAAGAAATAAGTTCCGTGGAAAAAGGAACATTATGGGATATAAACAAATTTCAGAACTTTCGCAAGATGGCCTTCTCCTAATTCCTAAGCAGAGTAATACTATGTCTGATTTTCATGAAGAACGCTTTTCGGCATATAAGAAAGTCCGGGCGTCCAATTTATTTTTTTGCTTTTCAAATAAATTTCTTGGGACAGAAGTTCAATGTAGGAAGATCTCGCCGCATCCTATATCACTTGTGCTACGTGTTATATTACGTTTGAGTGAATGTATGTAACACCCAAATGAGCTCAAGATTAACCCACTTATTATTATGTCTTTCGATTCAGAAACATTTCTTGCGTTGAATAAATTTTATACGCCCGTCTGATATCTATATCATATATATATATATATATATATATGTATACGTTCAACTTACAAAACGTAATTTTTGATATAATATTAAATTATGAGACACTGGCATGTCCTTTGATAAGAAAATTGATTTTGCTTAATTTGGACCTTCTATGCGTTTTGCATGAAACGGAAAAAAAGGTATAATTTATTCGAAAAGAAATAAAAAGTTTTACTAGACTAGGAGTGGTTTAGGGTAATTAATATTCGGTCTTGTTCCGACTATGTCGTTTCTGCGTGTTTTGTATTAAAAAAAATATATATATATAATTACTTAAGGATCATGCCTGAGTGCTACAAAAGCGATGACCAAATTAATATAAATGGAATGTCGGCGTAAAAATTGGAATGAACTGAGAAAAGCAAAAAAAAAAAACCAATCAAGCAAAAATATTAAATTTTCATATAAAAAAGATCTTTTGTTTAACGAACGCAAAAATGATTTTTACAGTCACTACCGGCGAAAAGCAGATAAGTTTAAGAAATAAGTGTTGCGGGGAGGGGCATATTAAGAAAAAAGAGACACTGCATTAATTATATAAATTACAAAATTATTTATAAAATTATATTAAAGGGTGTTTGGATCTTGGCAAGCGTCTACGCTGAACTTTCATGTGTTCCAAGTAAATATTTCAGTTTAATGTCTTCATTATATAGGACGTAAGGTAGGACCAAGTAATATAATGAATTGGATTCTTATGGTTTCAAATTTGCTCTCCAAAGTTAAGTGAAATCTTCGCTTTACACGAAAATTCTAAACATAGCTGGCGAAGGTGATCCGTTGGGTGTTGCCACGTATTCTAAAGTGCCACTGCTATGATATTAAAATCGCTCTAGCATCTCTAAGTAAATATTATATGCAATAAACGTAATCAGTTTAATCGATTTTTGGTAAAATTGATGAAAGAAAGAAAGTCGAAAATAGAAGAGAAAATTTCAAATAATCCCCTTTAAAATCTGAAAGGCGATAATGCCCGATGCAAAGGTCATCTTGATGAAGGAAACTACTCTGGACGAACTGTGTAATAATAAGCTCAGCTAACGAGTGTCCAATATTCGTTTGTTATCTTTTCAATTTATTTGATTCGGTTCATTTCTTTTGCTCTTTGAACACCTGGGAAGGAAAGTTTCACCTTTTTTTGTTAGTGCATCACTTTGCTTGGGATTTTTGTTGCGTTTGTTTGAGTTGAAAAATAAATATAAAAATTTGCAATTTTTGTAATTGTTGTTACTTTTTTACAACTTGTTTTTAGTTCGTATTTTCGTTATTTCTACGTTACATAAACACTCATTCGTATATTACATGTCTGCGGATTTATATCAATTTTAATGAAACATACACAACTTTTTTGTTACTCGTTTAATTAAATTCTGTTGTGAACTTTTTCTTTCTTTCTTTTTTTTTTTTTTTCTTTTTTTCTCGCTATTCTCTTAATAAATGTATAATTTCCCTATTTGTGCAAGCATGTTGGGAAAAAGATCCTCTCAAGCACTCAATTACATACAATTCATGCAATTATTAAAAATATGTACAAAAATTTGATTCTCGAGGTTGTTTTAATCCTCTTTATGAATTCCTTTTTTTATCTTACTATATTTAATGCATTAATCATTCAAAATGATCATAGGATGGAAAATTGCATACCTATGCATAGGTTAAGAACTCTGGAAATATAGACAAAGATCTCTTCGATGAACTATCATGATTCTATGCTTCAGGGAGCCGATCGAGGATAGACATACTTGCCCAGCGTGATTATTGAAATTAATGTAAACACACACACTTGTCTGCTGTTTAGATATGTCGGTTTGCTAAAATCACGACTATCCGCTTCTGTCTTCTCTTGACAGAATTGTTTCGTTTAGTATAAATTTTTTTTTTTTCCTTTTTTTTATTATACCCCTCACTGAAGCATGAGGGGTATATTCACATTTTCAACGTCCAGAAGGAAGCATCAGAGATGGCACAAAGCAATAAAATTGTAAATCGATTTAAGCATGTCTGTCTATGCGTCTGCTCTAAACATTCTCCTGGCCGTAAAAATAAAGCTATCGACTTCAAATTAGCAGAAACATTGGAAATGCTTGCACGCAGCCAAATGGGTTAGAAAATATGCCCGCAGTACCACGTAAACTGAGAACACCTCTGTTGTTCAATGCGGTGTATTAATACCTAAGGTATTCGAAAACCTCATAGAGCATATAAATTCTTGGACTGTTTCAAATTTCGAATGGACCTTAACATATCCGTCTGTTCGCGCGTTCATCTGTCTGTCTGCGCAAATTTCATCATCTATACATCGACAAAAGAATTTGGAAGTGACTTAAACTTGTGCACACCTACAACGCCCACACGCCTTTGCGATAAATACTCGTATTTTGAAAATAAAAAAAAATTCGGCCGCGCCCACTCCATATTATAGAGCATGAAAATTTAGTTATGTCACTGTTTTGGTCGTTTTTAGGGTAACTGTGACGGCTATAAAAGATTCGGTCATGACAGAATAATAATTTTCTTACTAATTTTGTTATTAAGAATTCTATGAGAAAGTTCAATCAGCCTAAGATTCCTTCCACAATTACAATTTATATGTAAGTAGAAATGAGTCTTTATTTCAAACACTTTATTCGGTATTCGATAAGATATTCGATCTATACGATATACGATTTTTACGATAAGAGGCGTTTCTCTCTAAGATGTAACAACAATAGCACCAAGTCATGGACACATACGCAAAATGGCCGGACCTTTGTCCGATGATCGATCAATTCGAAGGAATTGTAACCCTATTTAACTAAAATCTCCATGAAGAGCTAAGTCCTTCCAATACGAACTTTATAACGGACTTTTATTTGTGTGACTACAATAATACAAAACATGAAGTCAGTGTACTATTTGAAGATTTGAACGCTAGCCACTTAGCTGTTTGACAGGCTCAACCCAATTTTTATCGAAAACTCTGCGTACTGCTAAGCGAGGTTTGCTCTCATCTCGTTTAATGCAGCCAAACTTTTTGCTTTAGATCAAGCCTCGTTCACGAGATTATTATTCGAAATTAATTTTTATGAAGACAATACTATCAAAAGCCCATCTCTAAGCTGACTTTTGGCGCTGTATTGAGGGCATGGTAGGTAAGCAGCAAAATATTGGTTAAAAACAAAAAGAAAAGAACACAAATCTCGCTGCAGAGGGATGATGATGATGGCTTATCCTTTTATAGCTTTCCTAATCATTTCTTTTTAATGATTTGTATTGAACTCTATCATTCTCGTTGATATTGTTGCTGCAATTATTATTAATGCATTGCATTGCATATACCATATGCAATTTATTGCGTAAATGCTTTCTTTGGCAAATCGATCTTAGTTTATGTTTCGAACGACAGTTACAATGTATGAAAGAATGTACTTTGCAAACATATTGATGTCTGTCGTGATTGAGTGAGCGCGGTTCATAGCGATTAGGCAATTGCTCGAAAATTTACATAGGTAGGTAGGTAGGTAGGTAGGTAGATAGTTCGGGTGTGCACTGAATGATTGACGGTTGGCTCATGTGGTTTAGCGGAACGCATAAAACGCATAGCATTCTTGATAGTATAATAAATAGTTTTTTTTTTTTTTTTTTTGCTTTGCGTGTCTAACTTAAAGCACACGCTCACACAGATGAACTAAAACGTAAGTAAACATCAATCATAATGGAATGGAAAAACTTGAAATTTCTAATAGTTTTACGTGGAAAATTTTGAAGGAAAAATTGAAAAGCTTTAGCTACTACTTGGAACGTTAAGCTGCTTCGGGTTGTTAAAATGCTCCGCTAGACAGAACATATCTACTGAAATTCGTTCAGTCTTTTTTTTTGAAATT